GGTCAAGTTTTTGACACCTTGCTAGGCGATTGGTGGTACTCGGATGTTGCCATATCCTAAAAGTGGTACAACGGGTGAAAAGGTTGAAAAGCCGTTTTATACGACTAAAGGAAACAGGGCTGGAGTTCTCCCATAGAAAATTCTCTTCTAAAACCCTGGATTTAATAAAATAAAATAGTTAAGCCTTTTAAAATTTAACATGTCTGTTTTAAGGCTGATTTTAAAAAAAGCTGCATATCATGGCATTATAAGTCTTTTTTTCAGAGATTCTGTCTGACTAGGAAAACTACTGACCTGAGTGAATGAGGTTATGTAAACCTGAGACACTCCTTAGCAAAAACAAGGCTGGGTAAATAAGAGCAAATCCTTTCCTTCTTTTTAAATCCCACTATCCACACCGCTTTCACTTTCTGTTGCACAAAAAGACAGAGACTGTTTTTACAGTTTTATATATTTTTTTTCTTCAAAGATTATTTTACAGTTTGAATTCCACGAGAAGGCACTTTTGATTGGCAAATTTTATCACACTCTCATTCATGGTTAAAAATTCAGCTGATGGGTCATCAGATACAGACAGCCTGAAAAAAACCGAATGGGGAATAACTTCTCTTCTTCACAGGGAGAACTACTAACAATAATGTGAGACATGGATGTGGCATTTTATTCAGCCACTTCCAAAACTCCAGGAGCACGGCATAGCCAACCTATCTAGTTCCTTGGCATGTCTAGATGGAGATTTGTGTGGCTCTTTGGAGCTCTCAAGCTGGCACTGAGAAGCACAATCTCGGGGAAGTGCTGAGTTTTCCAATACTCTGTTAGAGTTGAAACTGGCTTGCTGGCCCTGAACCTTTAGCCTTCCTGAAAAAAGGAATAAAGCAGGATGTGGCTTCAGTGGGAAGGCAATTCTATGGAGAAAGTGAGAGAGGCATCACTCAAGCAGCTGTCTAAGGAGGGGCTTGTCTGCTACTACCCTGAAGGATTAGGATGGAGTTGGTTGGTGTAAGAACCAGTCTCAGGTGGGAACAGAAAGCAGTGGAGAAGGGAAAAGTGGACAATTATGTGAAAGGGAAAGTAGAAAGAAGAGAAAAAAGTCATTTCTCTTCCAGGGAACAATTTTGGGTTCTGTATATTTGATGCAGATGAAAAAAATGAGTTTTTTTGTGGAATGAGACTATTGACTGGGTCTCATATTAACTCTTAGCCAATGTGGCTAGTAACACTGGCCCTGACCAATATTGTGTGGATTATTTCATTCCTTTGCCTCCAAGAACGACAGGGGAGGTTGCAGGCACTTGGAGACACGACAGAGGCTCTCTCAACAGAAGTGTCAACTCATGGGCAAAAAAGATTCCCAAAGCATTTCCTTTTATATCAGAAATGACAACAAAGCACACAAAAATAATCACCATCTCCCGTGAACAGCATTAAAATACAGCTATAAAAATCATCATACTTTTTCTCATTCCATATTTTCCTATTTTTCCTAATATATATATACACACATATATACATGGTATACATATTTATATAATCTAAAAACATGCCCAGTTCAAATTATTTCTACATTCTGTAAAAAAAGAAAAAGTCATTCCCCCCACAATAGGGTGTGCTGGGCGACTCCCTACACAGAATTTGGATTAATCTTAAAAGGGGATCTTTTGGTTTGTGGGAGCTAGTAGGTCCAAATTGGCCTTTGGCCTCTTTTGGAGGGGGGGGGGGAGAAAAAGATTTCTTGGTCCTGCCAGAATGAAGCAATTTCTCAATTTCTCAACTTATACCATCAAACACAGCATTAAGGAGGCAATTGAGGTAGGGTGAGAAAAGGAACAAAGATACAGTTCAGATCAGGCCAAATTTAGCTACTCCAATGGGAAAAACTATGTACATGCCAAAGGAGGTTGACGCCATCCTTAAATCAAGATGATCCATTGAAGCAGCAAAGAAATATGCAGTCTAGATTTACACAAAAGTAAATTAACTCTTTCTTAACAGTTTTCTGTCCAAAATGTGTGCATAAATTGTAACCTTATTTCCCCCCCCCCGGAGTTTCTGTGGCTGGAGAAAGAACAAAAAACAGCCTTAGAACGCCGCAAGAGAGTTCCTTGTTAATTCAACCTGACATTAATATAGATTGGCTGATAAGATAATATGGAATGATTAGAGATCATTTTGCACTACATTTTACTTTTGCCTCACATCAATTTCAAAAAAATCTTTTAGAAATACTGTACATTTTAAAATGAGTTTTGATAACAGTTTCACTGCTAAAAACCGTGATACAACATTTGAAGAACTATAAAATCTGGAGAAAGTTATTCAATGCATATTTTCAGTGTTTTGATGCATGTTTAACCAGGAAGTGCAAATCTGGCAAGTCACTGAGAAAATTGCCAGGTTCAATTTCTCAAGGACTGCTAAGGAGAGACTTTAGACCTTCGGTCTTTCCATACAGTACTAGCAACAGGTGCCACACCTGAAGAAGCAGAAGGGGGGGGGGGGAGATGACAGTAGACTTAAGGAAAAACAAAGCTTCTCTTCTTTTACCCTCAATTATTTTTTTCTCCCTTCCACTCCCTTCAGGTTGTTAGAACAATGCTGCTTTTTTTAAATGGTTCTTTTGGGGGGGAAAATAAATAGAAAATAAAAAGGAACATACAGTATTTGTTTACTGTTCAAGGAATCTGCAGTTTGCATTGTTGAAAGATGACCTGCTGACTGTAATATCCGACTTCAAACATGCCTGATCTGACAGCCGTGTTTGCAATGCCCAATTCAAAAGATTTCTGAACATCCTGTCATTCTTGGCAAGAGGGAGCAGAATGTTAATCAGAACTGTCTGGTCAGGTGTAGGCCAGCAGTGATCAGATACATCAGTGGTTCTCAACCTGTGGGTCGGGACCCCATTTGGGGTCGATCGACCATTTCACGGGGGTCGCCAAGCAAGGCTGTCCGCCATTTTTTTTGTCCGCCATTTTTTTCCCCTTTTCCGGCAGGTGCCTTACCTCCCTTGGGCTGGGCCAGCTGGTGGTCGGCCTGCTCCGTCTCTGCCGCTTGCCGGCGCAGGGGGCGGAACCACGCATGCGCGGCGCTCCCGGGCAGGGAAAGTCCTGGACTTACGACCGGCTGGGTAGTCCTCGACTTATGACCGGTTTAGTCCTCGACTTACGACCGGTTTAGTCCTCGACTTACGACAGGTTTAGTCCTCGACTTATGACCGGTTGGGGTCGCGGCATTAAAAAGGTTGAGAACCACTGAGATACATCAACCATTTCTGGTCCATTGTAACAGTAAATTTAATTGTTGTTTCATGTTGAAGAAGACAGCTCAGGAGCTCCTTGAAAGTGAAGTTCAAAATGAGCTACCAATGAGCTACCAAGAACTGCAGTACCCTATGCCTGAGTTAGATTCATGGAGTTTATGGCATCTTTAAAAAAATAGCAATAGGCAAAGGCACAAGGAATTCTTACATCTCGAAAATATTGTAAGGCAAATTTAAGATGGCACTGGAGAGAAACCGCGGCAAATCCGTTAAGTAGAAATAGTAACTAGGCAGATTACCAAGACAATTCTTGTTTGGTATCAAAATTCTCTCCTATTAAACAGGTTTCAAAGATGCTGGAAAAAAAATAGGAAGAAAGATACTGAAGCGCAGGGATGGATCAGCTTTGCTAAAGCATCCCGAGGGAACCCCCAGCACTGTGGACAAAGCAGCAGAAATGGAGACACCTCCTTTTGGCACACTAACTCTGCTTTCTCCTCCTCATGCTATATCAGCAAGTCTATTGATTCTAAAAGGCACAATTTCCCCCACATACTCCACAAATCCAGAAAGGTTACAGATTTCTAGGAAGACAGTGGGATTTGAAGGCACCAACTGTAGCGCAAGACAAAAAACACAGCGGTCAAGGAATACACCTCCCACATCTTGTCTCTCTGTTTAGTCTAATTCTGCCTGATGTTGTATCCTGTCACTGAGAGGATAGTGTCAAAGAGGGGCTCGAAGGCTGGAGGAGGAAGAAGTCAGGGCTGACACAAAATACGGAAAAGGTGCAAAGAGGACAATTCCAAAGCATTCAACATAAATACTGCAGGATAGTATCACTTATCACTTCTCTAAGCTGTGGGAGGAACTTCTGGCTCTCCAGCTATTGCTTTAGGACCCTTTGTGCCTCCCTCATCATGATCATAAGAGGAAACGAGGAATGTTCTTCAGCAATGTATGGAACCATGGTTTCCTAGCTTCTGTTCTTCAATATTGGACTCTCTTAATTACAGAACTATCGATCCCTTCCATCATTCTGTCCTTCCCATAGAATTTTCTTTCTTGTCAGACATATTTCACCTCTCTGCATTTCAATGCCACCTCAGTCTTTCCTGCAAATCATGAACCACCTTACCCCAACATGACCAGTCATAGAAGTGGCCCGAGAGATCTATTTCCAGAGATTAAAAAAAAAGAGGGACTTGTAGGCTGGAGGCTGCTTCAACTCCTCTTATCCCCTTGCTAGTAAAGCTGGTTCACCCTATGTCTCAGCGGGAAGAAGCAAACCTGATTTTTTTTCCTCCTCCTTACGAAAAATCTCCAGCCCTTCTCTAATTTGGGGGGGGGGGAGAGAATGAATAAAACTGGGAATTCTTCCAATCTCTCTCTTCTCCCCTCACTGTGTTTGGAAATTTAGGAATTTTCCCACAAGGGGAAGGGGGAGATATTTCCAAGAGGAGCAAAACACAAAACTGACCTCACTATTCGTCCCAAGAGTTAGCTTATGTGTAATAGTTATACACAGTCCACAGCCCTTCTTCTTTAGGGATGAAGCTGAGTCCCCTTAAAAAAAAAATGCAGTCCTCTGCTCACATCTGTCTATCACTTTTCTGTATCCCTGCCCCATCCATGCCACTTTAGTTCTGCTGGTTCTTTTTAGCTTTTCTTCTCCACTTTTCTTGAATAATTTCAATCTGGGCTCCTCCTAGCCAATCAGCGATTTTAGAAATCACTTTTTTTTCTGAAATTGGGACAATGGAGATCTATGAACTGATACAACAATGAAGGGCAGTGAATACCCGGGAAAGAGACTTGTGTATCTTCCCCCAAGATGGCGGCACATGAGCGGAGAACTGTTCTGATTAGAAGGGAAAGGACCATAGTTGGATCATAGCTTTGGTCACATTAGATGTTTGTGTGTGGAGAGAAAGGGCTGAGGTTCTGGTTTCTGCAACCCATCATTCAAGGGGAGAAACTGTTAACCATAGCAGCAAGGAGGTTTCCTTTCTGGGGGGTGGGGGTTCAAGATCACATTCAGATGCTGAAGTTTCTTCTGGTGCCTCATGGGAATAATTGCTCTCTGCTGCCTCCTGCAGGGTTTCCTGGGCACTGCGTTGCTTGTTGAGGCTGAGGGAACAGGTCATCCTGCTCAGCAGAAGGAAGTAGCCAAAATGGGCATACCTACCCCTCCTACTTCCCCTGCCCAAAGCCTTGCCCCCTCCATTGGTCACTAGCTAGTAGTCCGATGCTGCTTTAGCACGGTATATACATCATCCACTTTGCTGAGTCTCTCAAAGAAAGGCAGCAGGTCAAGGAGCTCCGTGTCAGCCATGTTGTCAAACCATGAAGCCACAGGCACCTGCCAGGGGTGAAAAGAGGGAAGGGGTTACTGCATCGGTGGCTATCGGTAATCAAAATAAGGCTACCGGGAGCAGCTGTTTTATGTAAGCACACTTCTTTATACCGTGCTATGGATTGCATATGATATTGCTCTACTATTTAGCTTTCAGTTGCCAATTGCAAAAAAAAAAGCATCTGCACGATGCATGGTATTAAGAAAAGGACCCTCTTGGGCCCAAGAACCAAGTAGAAAACTATCCCCCCCTTGCCCTCTTCTTCAGGCATATATTTTCAGGTCTGTTCAAGAGACGGGCTCCCAAATTGTTATGGTTGCCCACCCCTCAATTTAGAAAGCTGCTAGCTCTCCCTCTACTTACAGCATTATCAGGGTGGAAGACATAGGAGGCTGGCGAATTGTCTACAATGATGATCCGTGTCAGATCGCGTCCCAGGCGGCTGAGGTCCTTGACGTAATTACCCCGGTGGAAGACACATGACTCGCGAAAAAGGCGAGCGCGAAAGGCTCCCCACTTGTCCAGCAGATCAGCCACAGGATCAGCATACTAAAATTGGAGGACCAACAGGGGATAAAGGAAATTGGTTTGACTAGATCAGGGGTAGTCAACCTTGGCTCTTTTATGACTCGTGGACTTCAACTCCCAGAATTCCTGAGCCAGCGTGGCTGGCTCAGGCATTCTGGGAGTTGAAGTCCACGAGTCATAAAAGAGCCAAGGTTGCCTACCCCTGGACTAGATTCTCCAGGTGCTCTATATAGGAAGAGAGGGTGTAGTATTAGGGTACACAATTTATTCCTGTTTTATTTATTTCCTGCCAAAATCCTGAAACTTTTGTATTCCACAGGGCTAGATTGGAAATAAAGATTAGCAAACTCTTTTCTCCAGCAGAGGCTTTTCCTACTAATTGTTAATTAAAGCAGACTTCTTCTGATGACGTCATCCAGATTGCCTTTTCGTTGCAAAAGATCAAGAGATCCGGGTGATTCCGGATCTCCCCTCCTTCCGCCGCGCCCTCAAGACATGGCTATTTAAGCTAGCAGGTCTGGCCTAAGGGTTATCTTAATTTGGTTTTAAAATAATTTTAACAAAAAGGCCAATAATTAATATTTTATTTTAATTACATTTTAAATTTAGTACTTTTGTATTATGTACCTGTTTTAAATGGCTGTAAGCCGCCCTGAGTCCGCTGGGAGAAGGGCGGGGTAGAAATTTAAATAATAATAATAATAATAATAATAATAATAATAATAATAATAATAATAATAATAATAATAATAATAATAATAATAATAATAATAATAAAAAGAAAAATCCAACATCTATAGGACAGGCAGTCCTCGATTTATAACCATCCATTTAGTGACCTTTCAAAATTACAATGGAACTGGAAAAAAAATATGGGTCCTTGCATTTGTGACCTTTGCAGCACCCCTACTATCACGTGATCAAACGTTGGATGTTTGGCAACCATCATGTAATTACGACTGTTGTAGCATCCCAGGGTCACGTGATCATCATTTGCAACCTTCTCAACTGATTTCTGGCAAGCAAAGTCAAGGGGGGGGGGGATCCAGATTCACTCAAGGACCACATTTCACATAATAACTGTCGTGATTCACTTAACAACTGCGGCAAAAAGTTCATAAAATCAGATACAATTCCCTTAACAAATACCTTGCTTAGCAACAGCAATTCAGGCCACAATTGTGATTGTAAGTCAAAGTCTACTTGTAGAGCATTGGCTTTTTTTTTTTTTTTTTTTTAGGATCAAGGAAAATGGTACAAAAGAATGTCTCAGCTTTGGAATTTTTCAGAATTCTTCATCAAGCAAAATGTTTACAAAAATCCTGGGATGAAGAGGAAATCCAAAGCACAGACTCTTGCTTCAGATGAGTGGGAATAGCTTTCTCCCACAGCTTGCAAGAGGTAAGAGGGATCCTGGGAGCCAGGATTTCTGGATTAATTTTGAGTTTAGAATGGATCAGGAGGTTAACTGGACAGAAAGGCTGCCATGAGCATCTTCTTAATTTCTCTCTTTCTGTTGGCTAAGTTTCCCCAAGTTGGAGGCCATTACCCTGACTACTTCATGAGAAAGCAGGATGATAGGAGAAGAAGGAGAATCGTACCTTTGCCAGGCTAGCAGTGAAGAGTACACACTCAAAGAGCTCACCCATCCGCCTCAGAAACTCATCCACATGGGGTCGCTTCAGTACATACACCTGGTAAGAGAAATCATGGAAGGGGATCATGGAACAAGAAGAAGATGCGGGCTCCATGTCCTATCTACTTGGCCAACAAACCGATGGATCCAGTTTCTGTCTAAAAGAAGGCAATGCTGAGCATCAGAATAAGCCCACCGGAAGACTAGGTAGCAAAACTGGTTGCCCAGAAAATATGCTGATATTTATTTATATATGTATTATATATATTTATATACTGCCCCTCTTCCATGACAACATCAATAGAATAGAATACCCTAAAATTCAATAAAGCGCTGCATACAAAAACAGCCACAAAACTGGCCCAAGCAATAAAACCTGATCAGAATAAAATATCCAACTACACAAGATGGTTGAATCACTAAAATTCAAGTATCTCCCCCCAAACAAAATGGCTTCCCCTGCCTAATAGCACTTAGCAATAGCATTTAGACTTATAATATACCCCTTCACAGTGCTTCTCTAAGTAGTTTACAGAGTCAGCACATTGCCCCCAATAATCTGGGTCCTCAGTTTACCAACCTCGGAAGGACGGAAGGCTGAGTCAACCTTGAGCCGTTGAGAATCAAACTGAACTGCAAGCAGCCGGCAGGCAGCAGAATTAGCCTGCAGTACTGCATTCTAACCATTGCGCCACCACAGCTTATGGAAAAGCAACAACCAAGAGACTGGTGCGTGTCCGGCAACCACGTGTTCCTGGGAATTGGGATCACCCTGAAGATGGTTTCAGTTCAGTTCAGTTCAGTTCATGTCCCCCTTACCTCACAAGGGGTGGGGATCCTAAGCATCTCCTCCCCTAAAAGAATGGCTTCCATACAGAATGGCTAGAAGCCGATTGGAGGAGGCAGCCCCTTCAGCAAACTGGAGCTGCTCCTTACAGGACTTTATAACTTATAAGCAGATCTTTGAATTGGGCTCAAAAGCTATCAAAGGATTGGTGGCACACTGCAGTAGCATGTCTCCTTGTTGGCAGGCTGGCCACAAGAATCAGTATCAACTCTACTTTGCAAGCCGTCTTCAAAAGCAGTCCTATGTAAAACCTGTTGCAGTGTTCTGAAAGTATCTTGCGAAGAGCATGAGTCACGACTGCCAGGTAAAGATTGCAAATGTACCAGCCTAGCTGGATAAAAGTCCCCTGGCCATGACCTCTACCCACTCCTCCAGCAGGAGCCATGAGTCCTGGAGGAACCAAAGTCACAGACATTTTCTATAGGGCTCTACAGGATCATATTCAGAATTATCACTGGAACTGATTGCTCCTGGATAAGCAGTACCTCTGGGTAGAGAAAGGCAGAGATAACAAAGGCGAAAGAACGCAAGATCCCTTAGCAGATTAAAAAGACAGTAAATGACACTCAGCTTGAGAAAAGTCAGAGAAACAGGCCCATAGTAAACTCACCTTGATTTGGTATAAGAGAGGGCAGAGGGGGGAAGGGTTTGAAGATTCAGTTCTTATGCAGTATAACAATAAAACAGAGTTCCAGGAATCGTGCTGGGTCTTGTTTCCTGATCTGGCGTTCTTTGAAGGGCTGATACTCAATCCGGCAGAAGGCCGGGGAGGGCCTATTCAAGTTGGGGAGGGCAATCCTAACCAAAGCTAATCACAAAACTGCTTTAGAACCTCCAGCTTGCTGGGATTTAGTTTCAGCTTGTTCCTACCATCCAGATCCTCAAACCCCCGAGACTGAGTTAGGGCTTCACAGCAGTTCTGTCACAGCAGAGAGGACAGCGTGCTGTTGAGCATCGTTAGGATGCTGGTGACCCCTCACTGCAAACTGACAGACGATCTCTCTCCAAAGTTTCATAGAGAAGTTAAACAGTGTGAGAAAGGCACCGGTGGGCGTGTGGAGGGGATGTGTGTAGTTGGCTGTGAGGATAACCTTGAGGAAGAGGAGGAAGAACTGCAGCCAAGGCAGTGGTCGAATAAGAGAAATCTTAAGACCGCAGCATGGAATTTGAGAAAGCATCTCAGACTGGACCCTCCCTAAGTCTCTTTAGGATAAAGGGGGGGGGAGGGAAGAGGCACATTCAGAGTTGCAAGATTCTGCTACTGTGACCCTATAATAAAAGTTCATTTTATCATTCGTGACTTTGGCGTTCAGGCCTGGTCTACCTCAAAGGGCTGGTACCCTGCAGAACACTGAAGACAGATAGTCCCAACCTCAAAGCCCCTAACTGACCTATGAAGCCAAGTTACTTCTAGATATGGTTCTTCTCTGGCACTTGCTCTGCTTTACTTATTGAATTTTACCAAGCACAGAGACAGAGATCAAGGTGTCCTCCTCGTTGAAGATCCTCCACAATTCAAGAAAGGCCGGGAAAAGACAGCTTCCACCCTTTGCACAAAGAACCAAAGCAAGAAGATCCCCACATTTCAACATGCAGTACACAACAGTCATCTGAAATGGTTCAAACTCCAAAGTATGGAATGATGTAACTGGGCAATCTCATCTGAGAACTATTCAAAGCATGCCGAGCTGTTGATTCCTCTTTGAATGTGAGCACGTATAACTGTCAAGTCCACTGTGATTGATGCTGCTGGCTGCCTCCAAGGCCAAGTAATCGAGAACAGGCTGATTGCAGTACCTACAGCCTATCCTGGATTACTTGAACCTAGCCACAGCCTTTGTAAATGGGAATAGCAATCACAATATATATATATACGGCTATTGGGTTTCAATCTCAGCTCCATCACAGCTTTAGGAGTATAGAGGAGATTTCCTTCTGTTGAATCAAACCATTGGGTTCACATGGTCTAATGATCAAATGTATTTTCTTAATCTATAAGGACATGCTGGGATTGAATGGAAGATCTTCTCATGGAAATAGATGCTGTACTACCAGATGGACCTTTCCCCTCATGCTACTGTTAAGGGGTATCCCATAGCAACCATTACCAATTCAGATTTAATGTGAAATTTGTCTGTCACATGAGGTGCATCCAGACTGACCGCAATCTCTCTTGTCTCATTTTCCAGCATAGATTCCATACCTGGTGCATGACCCCGTCAATCTCCACTGGGATGATGAAATCTGCATTGTTCACTGGCTAGAGAGGAGGAAGGAAGCACAAGGTGAACCACAACTTCTAAAAGACTTCTTTCCACTACCCATCTCCCGGGTTTTGAAAAAGTTATGTTGAAAACACTTCCTAGGTTTCTGAAACAAGATTGGCTTCACATTTTGCTCTGTCAACAAATAAGTCGTATATCTCCTTCCTTCATTCGTTTCAGTAGAGGGACTAAGTTTGGGGAAGGCTGCTCTAATGAAGAAAGTTTAAAAAATATAGCTGTTATAGCCTGAAATGAAATATAGCTGTTATAGCCTGGAATGAAAATCAGCAAATAGCCTCACTACTCATCAAAAAGGGGAGAGGAAGAGGAAGAGGAAGAGGAAGAGGAAGAGGAAGAGGAAGAGGAAGAAGAAGAAGAAGAAGTAGTAGTAGTAGTAGTAGTAGTAGTAGTAGTAGTAGTAGTAGTAGTAGTAGAAATGTAAGAACTGACCTTAAAAGAACTATGTACTAAGGTCTCATCCAAGTCAATCACCACACAGATTTTACTGGCATCTTGCAGTTTGAGTTCAGGCAACAGGTATTTGACTGTGGTCTGTAGAGTGAGAAAGATAGAGAGACATATGCATTTGGATTAAAAGAGATATAGAAGCAAGGAACTTCAATCTCTAACAACTAGCGTAAGGGGGCAATGGTAATTAACCCGTAAACAGCATGAATGTGCTAAAATCAGAGATTCTCCTTCCTATGTTTTGTGAAGAGTGGATGCTGTCTCCTTTTAGTTTGCTTCCCCATATTATCATCAAGGAATATTTGGCAGGTATCAAGATCTCTATCTCAGTCCTCTGTAGAACAAGAATGAATATCTACTGTATCTATCTGTCTATCTGTCTGTCTATCTATCTCTCCATTCATTATAAACCTATTCCCTATTCCATGATTCCATAGCTATACAATATAGGCTAGGAAGATGAAGTAGGTGCAGCGGGATGCTTTATACTTGCAGGAGGAAGAAGTCCTGAAGCCAACCCTAAGCATTTATACAATTGGGCAATAGAGGGCGCTAATATATCAAGGCTCAGGTGATCTATTCTAAAAGTGAATCAACTTGGGGTAGCAATTTAAAAGGAGTTGGTAGTTCAGCAGCTCTGAATAATTAAAGGCTCTCAAGATCTCTCAAAATCAACTAGGATTTTCATATATTAGCACCATACTTAGTCATTTTTTAAAAAATCTCTATCAGTTGGAGGGCGTGTTAATGTTCTGCCAGCCCAGTCCCCATGAGCAACAAGCTATAAATCTTGAGGGAATGCCAGAAATATAGAAGGCTCTTAATAAGGCCCTAACCTTTTTCTTGAAATTAGTGGATGGATAGCTTAAGTTGCTAATGTTTGATTTTTGTATAGTCCAGTGCAAACACCAATTGGGTACTTGGTCTACTACGGAGTGTTGTTTCAAATATAGATGAAACCCAATCTCTCTCTAGGTTGCCATCTTGCACCTTCGACATGAGAGAAATGTTGGGCAAGAGAGCCATGACTCTTCCTGCCCATCCCCTCAAGCTTGTCACCTGTCATTATCTATTGGCAGTTAAGCAACAAGGGATCATGTGTCAAGACCTGCAGCCAAATGCATTTTAAAGATCTCTTTCCAACCTCTGGGTTGCATGGCAGACATGCCATCTACCGGTATGTGGAATGTAACTAACTCTCCTTATCCAAGTACAAGAAACTAACTCTCCTTATCCAAGTACAAGAAAGCAATTCAAGCATTCAAGCATTGCAGAGGATGACTAATGCATAGTGAATGGTCTACAATGGGCCTTCTAATTTCTCAAACTGTTTTTTTTTTGGTTCCCAGGGCTTAATGACAACACCCATTAAAGTTTGTACACCTTCTCTAACCTAGAGGCTAGAGCAGGGGTCTTCAAACTTGGCCCTTTTATGACTTGTGGACTTCAACTCCCAGAATTCCTCAGCCAGGCACGCTGGTTGAGGAATTCTGGGAGCTGAAGTCCACAAGTCATAAAAGGGCCAAGTTTGAAGACCCCTGGCCTAGGGTTTTACTATTTTGAAGTTTACAGTGTTATCACTTGATCACGCTCAGGAATTTTACCTGAAGCTAAACGTGGCCTGAGGATTCTCAATGGGTAGAAATATCATGAACTGAAGTAAGGAAGTGGGCAACAGCCCTTTTCTTAAAACCAATGTATCCTTTCCCAGTATAGCATTTATTGGATGGTTTGGACTACAATACCCATCAGTCCCAATGATACACGATCATTTATTTTGCTTGCTGGGAGAAAAGTGTTTTAATTCCACATATCTGGAAAATCATAGGTTGGGGTAGACCGTTCAAGAGTTCCTTTTAACAAATGGATTTGTTGTACTCAGAAGCATCAAAGAGACTGGTTACATCCTGTAAGGCAAGATCCTTGATGGCCAAAAAACCAGGAATCAAAGAGACAGTGAAATATACCTTGGTCACTGAACCGTTTTCTTCCACCAGCAGCGGGGCGTTGTTGTTGACAGGGATAGGCTCTGAGTTGTCATGGCAAAGGCAGCAAAAAAGTGATTGGAAGATGCTGCGATTCCTGGGTTTCTTGGAAGATGATTGGTTCTGAACACCTGCAGGGTTGGGGGGGGGTGTCGGTGGCCAGAAAAGACAAGCAAGTGGAAATGAAACTGCACAGCTGTCCTGTCAAAGATACTTTACTGTCTAAAACAAGAATAAGGAGCATCCCTCCCATTCCATGTGTACAAGTCAAGTGGACTGCAGTAAGAATTCTCTCTCCTTCAACCCAGAGATAGGAGAACATCTCTTCTTCCATCTGAAGACCACGGGCTGGCTCAGGAACACAAGGCTGTGTGATACACAGCTCTCAATCCCAACACTTTTCTACTGTCTTCCGGCATCTGTTGCCTGAAGCACCTGTCTCACTCTACCTAACAGTAGGCTGGCCCTAAGGAGAGGTATTCTACTCAACCCCTGCCCAAAATGAAAGCCTTACCAAGCATCTATCTTCTTCCTGTTCAAGCTTCCTTTCTTTAAAGTATCGTTGACCCACTGCAAGACTGGAAAGTTCCATACCCAAATGCAGTATGTGTATACATGAGGTGCATCGTATTATTATCTTGCAAAATATCAACATCTACTTAGGCAGCTCTTATAACAGGATTTACTTTATCAGTACAGTAGCTTTCCCTTCTCTTCACATACTCATATTTTGAACATGTAATCTCACATTTGCCATAGAACCATATTGTGCATGAATGCCTATGGTCAAAATAAGTTTACTTCTGAGAAGGAGGCTCAGAGGGAGGGAGGGGGGGAAATCATTATACTATATTTAAGTGAATACTGTAGACCAATAATTTTCTACCTAACATCCCACTTGGCTGGTTTTAGCCTGGATGCATATTGATTCATACATTCATATTCTCAAGTTACTACTTCAACACTAGATGTAGCCTGCCAATGAAAAATATCATCTTTCTGTGAGTGGGTGCATTTATCATTGCAAGGAAGAAAAGATTAAAAAAAAAGCTTTAAGCAGGATGTTTGCTTGGATTGATTTCTAAATAAACCAATAACTGCATGCAGCTCCGTAAGCAAAATAGGTTTGGTTCACTTGAGAAAGAGGTGGATCGAGGAGACCTTAAACAAGACTGATGGGCAGCTTTTCTTAAGTCAGACTTCCCACAAGCTGATACTTTCCAGATGGACCTCAACTATCCTCCAGCCAACACGGCTATCTGATCAGGGAACGTGGGGGTGGGGTGGCAGTTAAAAACTCATGCATCTGAACAGAACCAGCTTGTAGGAGATTGGTGGAGAAATCAAGCAGGTTGGATCCTCAATGGAGATATGGAGCTTTCCCCCAAAATGGAAATGTGCCAGACCAAGTGGATATGTGGGTATGATTAAACTGGGGGGGGGGGGAGAGGAAAGGAGCACACAAGTAGTAGGCCTAATTATGGAAGGGAGAGAGATTAGCCAATACAGGGCTCTGCTGAAGTGAGAGGAGATCAGGTTGAAGGAACCCGATTTTAGCTGTTCAAAGGAGTTTTCAATATTAAGATATTTTGTTAATATTTCTGATTTTCTGACCATGATCACTGAATCCATACTTTGCAAGAAGGAAAAGAAAACATCATCTCCTCTTCCTAAGTTCCACACAAAAATGTACACCTGCTTTACAGAAATGGCAAATATATGTTCCCCCACCCCCACCCCTTTCACATTTTCCTTAGTCATCACAAGGATGTCAACACTAGAAAAACCCTGGGCCAGTTTTAATCATGCACCATCTCCCAAGTTTTAAGTTAAGATTCACTTTCCCATCTCATCTCTTTGCTATTCTATCCCTGGCGCCTGCTCTCTAATCCAGTCCCAAATCATGAGATTGTCTTCACTCGGAGACGCCCTGGACCAGGTCAGAAGAACATACAGCAGAAAGCCCAGCTAGCAAGGAAGTAGCACTTTCACTCCCAGTAACCCCCTACCAAGATCTATTTTGGGTTTTTAAGCTCACTTTGTTGCAAGTTTATCTAAGTCCAACAGACTTCTTTTGTCCTAACCGTACCCAGAGATAGAAGCTCTGTGGTAGAAGGATGTTGCTTTTATGAGACCCCAAGTAGCACTTGCAAAAGAGCTCCACCCTGTTTATTTTTAAAATGAGCGGGACAAGGCTCAAACATAAGCAGAACTTATTTAGAGCAAGAGAGGTGCCAGGACCACATGTGGTACCTGAAGTCTCTCTCTCTCTCTCTCTCTCTCTCTCTCTCTCACACACACACACACACACACACACACTTAATCCTATCTCAAAATGTCAGTGGTACAGCTGCCAAAAGCCAACGGTGCTGTATCCTGCCACTCTGAGGCCAAAACACACATGAAGGCTGTACCCACTATCACCACTACCATGCTCTGCAAACACTCAGGGGGAGGGGAAAGTCCTTGCTCTGCCCAAATGTGTAACTTGGCCATACCCACTTTGCATTATTATCCTGTGACGTTTGGGCCTCCGGATATGTGCTCCGAGGGCACTGTTATACAACATGTCGAACTTTGGAGACAAGAGACTTTCTGCATGCAACGCCATCATGTACTGACTATATAGTCTACCTCTGAATTTGTAAGTAGACTAAATAGCTTCGTATTTGCTCCTTCAGAATGTAATTGTGATGTGGTTTTTAACATTTTTGTCATATGCTAAATAAATAAATGGGCCTCTGAAACCGCTTAGTGTTGCTCACCCCTGTCTCATGGGGAAGAGGAAAGATCTTCTCTTTGTTCAGTATTCCCTTGCCTGTCTCACTTTGCAATCAGAAACGCCCTCTGCATGCATGGCCTCTCTGAAGTTCAATGTGATCTTCCCAGGCAAGTGTGTCTAGGATTGCAGTCTTATTGTCCACCTGCCTAGTCCAGCCTTCCTGCAGCCAAACCTAATGCCAAAGGGGATCCTATAGAGAAAATGTTTAGGTCAGACCCACAGGTAGATCTTTTGGCAGTTAAGTAAAAAAATGGCCCTTCTTACAGTTGATCTATCAGTCATAATGTGTGGCATGCTATTCTCAAACATGAAAATTTCATCTTAACAAGGAATAGCTTCTCCATGGCTTTATCTACTATAGAAGAAGGCAGTTTGGTGTTCTCGAGAGGGCGTTGACTAACATTCCCATAATCCTTTGCTTCTAGCTGTGTATTATGGGCCTGATGGGAATTGTAGTCCAAAAAACATGCCTAGCGCTTGACTTCCTTCTTATTCATGCACTGATACAAAGCCATCTTCTCACTTGAAGCTAATGTGTTCAGTGCAAAATAAACACAAAGTTGTACTTCATGTCTGCAGTTGTCTTTCCTTTTTGTTCATTCTCACAGGCACGCATAATAAGCATGGTGCCCTGACTGCAGTAGGTTCCTGCCTATCTTCTTGAAGAAGAACAGAAGCTATGTAACCCGAGTATGAATTTGAATATCCAACTATGATGAAAACAAAGAGTTATAAATTGCTGGATCAGATATTTTATTCAGCCAGCTATGTGATAACCACAAGGAAATTGCTCAACATGAATGGTAGGATACAGACAGTAAATACACAATATTGAGCTTCTGAAGGCAAAGTGTGGTGACCTCGGAAAGATGCTGCAAATATCTCCTTTTTTCTACCTTTTTGAGGGGGAGTTGAAACTAAAATAGGCGTACCACTCTTATTGGAGTATTTTGCTTTGGTATTTTTATAGAAACAGTCAAATGATCTAATTTCTGTACTTTGCTGCTTAATTTCAGCAGTGTAACTGGAGAAGGGCATTGACATAGGTTGTAGGTTACCCACCCTGTTCTCTATTTTTTTTTTCTTGGAGGCAGGCAAAATTTTGATAGTCAAGAGCCCCTTTAAAATCTCGGTATGAGTGGCTCCACATTGCACACGTGGGTAAGGATAAGCTTCCTTTTCATTTATTAACACTGATATACATACTTTAAGGGCTCACTGATATACATACACTCCAGACTCATATCAGCATGGGAAGAAACGCTGACAGTTTTCAGCAATCCTGTCTGGAGGAGTCTCTGAGGGTCATCCAAAGTAGCTTAAGTGAGCCCGGGACCACAAATTCCCCATCCATAATCTAGGGCCATTACGATAAAGCTGCTGTCACTGTGAGCAGAGGAAATCTAAAGCAGATCCTAATGAGTCAGTAACTATGAAGAACGGATCTTAGTTGAAAACAGAACAAGGCCATTCTCAGACCACAAAAAGCTTTCAATTTCCAGGAGCCCTGAGTTTCAAGAACCATTTGCTTCCTCACAGTGGCAACCCCCCAATCACCCCAGAGACCTTCAGCAGACTGTTTTAGGAACACCCTACACTTTGACTGGCAGCTGCACATTGTAAACATGCTCAAAGAGGAAAATATCCCTATTCGGCTCCACTCTTTCTGATTCGGTTCTCTGCTGGAAATATTCTTGGGTTATTGTTTTTACTGACGAGGGTAACAAGAAGAAAATCACACACCTCATCAGGTAAAGACAAGAAAATTCAAGGTGGGTCAAACCAGCACTGCAAGTAAAGCAGACTCAATTCATCAGCCATTCAATCTTTTAAAAAAGAAACTTGAGATCTGGGGTGCTCAACATGAATACAAAACACAGAATTGCTGGGGCAAAGCATTGAATACTGAACAGATTACCAGAGTCAAAATACAAACTAAAACATTTGTCATTTGCCAAGAACCATCGTGCTCAAAAGCCCAATTCCGGTTTCCCAGCTTAAATGAGAAACAAAATCTCACTGTACACTAGTACAGAAGTCTCCAAACTTGGCAATTTTAAGACCTGTTGACTTCAACTCCCAGAATTCCTCAACCAGCTATGGAGGTTGAGGAATTCACCATTAAGACATTTTTTTGTGAATGGGACACCACTCTAATCTCTTTAGATCCAGCCAAGGACATCCGAATGCTCATATTATCAGTTCTAAGCAAGTTCAGTGCAGATTCACTAAATGCACATTGTTGCACTAACATTACTCTCAAGTGTCACAGCTCATTTTGAGCACTCCCAGGTCTCTGGGGGTTTTTTCCCTATCTGTGTCACTTAGTACAGGGATCTCCAAACTTGG